TATAATGTTATATATAATGTTATATATAATGTTGTGTATAATATGAGGGTTATATAGAAGGAGGTTATATGAAGACTGAACTCAGTCTGCAGCCGGTGGTCGACGATCATCAGCCAGAAACTGTAGAAAATGAAACCTGATCAACGTTCTGACTTCCTGGTCCTTCATCTGAACTTGTTGCTTCCAGTTCGTTCATCAAAACGACTCGTTTACGTTTTTCATTTTAAAAAATCACCAAAAATAAACCGTTGGCTGCAAATAGACGTAATGAATAAACGAATCCTTCATTCCTCAGCTGCTTCTGCAGGACGTAACTCCACAGGAACTACATACATAACTATATTATATAGCAGGGGTTCTCAACTGCTGGGTCGCGACCCAAAAGTGGGTCCCGGACCTGTTCTGGGTGGGTCGCGGACAGCTGGTCAAAATGAAATAATATATAATGTGCGTCTCAGGTTGGACTTATTTTTTATTTTGAAAAGACTTTTATTTTGACAGGCATGGTAACCATAGTTTGTTTGACGTTCATTTTAAGTTTGTGTTGATGTCGGGATGCAAGATGGCAAAAACATGACCCGGAGTACTGAAAATGTGGGTTTTCATACTAGGACTGGACCCGAATAGCCGCCTATTGGTTCACTGTGCTGGAATCAGGAAATCAGTTTGGATCTCAGAACATTGAGCTCAGCCCGGTGGTGTGACGGAGGCTCCTCTACCTGATCTGAGAGCAGCTCTGTCTGCTGTCAGCCCAGACTCTGGAACTCTAATCAGGAGTAACAAATGACCTGATGAGGCCAAAACTTTTCTTAGAGTAGTTTTGATATTTATTTTATTCACTTCTGTACATGCAGCGGTCATGGTCCAGTTACTATACATGGCTATAAGCTCTGAAATGCATGTTGCACAGGAAACTATATTGAACATTGAATTATAAGTAAAACTGGGTCACGACTTAATGACCACGGGAAAATGTGGGTCCCAGGGTGAGACCAGTTGAGAAGCCCTGCTATATATATTCTAACTATATTATACAGTATATATTCTAACTATATATTCTATATATTATAACTATAGTATAATTATATTATAACTATATCATATAACTATATTGTCTATATATTCTAAGTCTATATTCTATGTCTAACTCTACATTCTATATGTTCTAGCTCTATATTCTATGAATTCTAACTTTACATTCTATATGTTCTATCTCTATTCTATATGTTCTATATGTTCTAGCTCTATATTCTATATATTCTAACTATATNGTTCTCCATTAAAACAAGGAGCTGACTGAAGCAGCTGCTCGTCATCGATTCATTCAGGGCAGAAGAAGAGTCACGTGACGCCTTAACGCCTCCTTTAATGAGAACAGAGTCTGAAGCAGGAAGCTGGACCTCCTTCATGATACCTGTGGTCTCTGCTGGAGCTTTGGTTCATTTGGAGCCGCTACACAGAGAAGGTCTGGATCTGTTGAACTGGCTTCGTAGTTCAACCCTCTGGTCAGACTGTGTGACTGAAGGTGAACCATCAGACCTTAATCAGAGACCAGTTTAGTCCATCAGACTGATCCTGATCCATCTTGATGGGCCTGTTGCTGCCCCCTGCTGGCCACAAGCTGCTGCTGATGTGGGTCTGATCATAACGAGCAGATTCATGATCTTTAGTTAAAGATGAACTTCATCAGAATCTGACTTTATTCTGCTGAACTCTGGACCAGCAGCAGTCTCTGTCTCGTTTTTGTTCACAGTCGTTTCATTTCTCACTGAAACACGTTGGGCTCATATGTAGTTCCCCGCAGTGGCCACCAGGTGGCAGCAAAAGAGAACAAATACCAGGAACCAACAAAACACTGACAGTTTGAAGGTTCATTCAACCAAAACAGAACTTCAGTGTTTTGGTCCTTATCAGCTCGTCTACTTTTTCTCTTTTACTGTTTTGCTGTGATGTGGACGTCCACACACTCCACTTCCTCCCCTGAATGATTCATAGAAGTGTGCTGTCTGTGCGGTGGTCCGGTGGTCCTGGTGAGCTCCTTCATCTCGGTGGTGTTTAGGGTGAGGTGCACCACCGGACCATGTGATGATCTCCTCTCTGTGGGGGGTCTCATCACTGATCCATATGAGTGTCATTGGCATCATGAAGGCATTGGAGGCGTGGATGAGCTGCAGTGATGTGAAGAGTGAACAGGCCCAATGAATGGATGAGTCTGGTTCCTGATCCTCACCGCTGGTGGCCTGATGGAGAGAAGAGCTCACATTCATGAAGACAGAGAGGTGGACGTCCAGGCTGTGGAGGTCTGGAACTCTCGATTCCTTTAATTCTAGGTAAAGACCCACCTGTTCACAACAGTGATGTCAGGGGAGGCAGAGCCTGACCCACCATCACGGAAAGAAAAAGAAATATAATGATAAAATCATTTATAAATGGTTATATTGATCCTTTGTACTATAAAGTATTTATTCTTTCATTTAGCTTCACAAATTTTGATGATTTTTTTAATTCAAAATCACTGAATTTTCTCAGTTTCCATCCAAATAACTGGAAGAGAAGCTCAGCCTCACCTTGGATCGTACAATCCCTCCCTCGCTACCTGCTGCCTGCAGTGACGGGATGCTGCCGTCTGGATGTCGGCAATAACATGTTTCAAACACATTTAATAATATATGAACTGATGTTCCATAGTTCAGCTGATGTATATAACCATGTTCAGTGTTTTTTGTTACCAACTGTATGTGTGTAATGTGTTCCGTGTGCTGAGCATTATAATCGGCTGAGAAGAGGTTCCAGGTGAAGCAGGCCGTTCTCTGGCCTCGTGGCAGGGGGCGCTCTGATTCCAGAGTGACAGAAGATAGACCGGGTTCAGCGGACAGTTGCAGGTCAAGAGCACAGATCTGTTTATTGGTCACATTTCTAAGCTTCAACAGTTTTTGGAAAGTGGACTTTCACAGTAACGGACGTTCAGTGCAGAAGGAGGGAGCGTGGACTTCATCAGTAAACCTAAGACAGCAAGAAGTTTTAATGAAACGTATGTTTTGTGGCCTCCAGCTTGAATGTGTGAAGAACGCAGACATGAACACGACTGAGAGGATGCTGCCAGTCACACGTCCAGTGAGCTCCTCTGTGGACATCATGTGTCTGTTGATGTGACTGTGATAGGGTTAGTCTAACCATACTAGCCATACTAACCATACTAACCCTACTAACCCTACTAACCATACTAACCCTACTAACCATACTAGCCATACTAACCCTACTAACCATACTAACCATACTAACCCNTCTAGCTCTATATTCTATGTATTCTAACATATTCAAAGTCTATATTCTATGTTCTATATGCTCTAGCTCTATATTCTATGTATGCTAGCTCTATATTCTACATGCTCTAGCTCTATTCCAGTGAGGGGAACACGATGGTTTCAGATTTCTACGATCCCGTTTTTCTACCTTCGGTCCGTTTCTTCTCGTCGTGGTTCTGTTTGCGTAGAGCTGCAGGATTTTATGTTTCCAGACGTGTAGCGTGTCAGGTGACTCAGGTGAGCTTGTGGGCGGAGTCTGACGTGTGTCTGTTGCAGGTGACACGGCGTTCGTGGTGCTGAGGAAGCAGAAGCTGCTCTTCCTGCACTGGTACCACCACATCACCGTGCTGCTCTACTCCTGGTTCTCCTACAAGGACATGGTGGCCGGCGGCGGCTGGTTCATGACCATGAACTACGCCGTGCACGCGCTCATGTACAGCTACTACGCCGCCCGCGCCGCCGGCCTGCAGATGCCCCGCCCCCTGGCCGCGCTCATCACCAGCGCCCAGATCGGCCAGATGCTGATGGGGCTGCTGGTCAGCGCGCTGGTGTTCGGCTGGATGCCGCAGGGCGACTGTCCGTCCCGCCTGGACAACGTGGTCTGGGCGGCGCTCATGTACCTCAGCTACCTGCTGCTCTTCTCCAACTTCTTCTACCAGACCTACCTGCGGCGCGGCGCCAAGACCAAGAGCCAGTAGGAGGCGCCACCGCCGGGCATCATGGGAGGTTCATGTGGAAGGGCAGCAGCTGGACAAGAGAACAGCAGGTGTTATTGATCAGCTGATCGACTGCAGACTTCAGGTCCGAGAACATCAGGACGTTCTGACCCGTTTCACCGTGAAGCCGTTTCTGAGCAGCTTCAGGTTTTAATGATTTTAATCAGTTTCTGCTTGAAAGAAAGAAAAACTCAAAGATCTTCATCTAAACATTGGTTGGTTGAGAATCTGAGTCCATCGATGGTTCATGGGCTCCCTGTGGTCATAAACCTGGTCGGGTCACCTGCTGGTTCTGAAAGCGGTTTGGGTTCAGTGTTGGTCGCTGCTCACTGGGTGGAAGCTGGTTCTGAATCCTACAAAATGAAGTCCAGTGACAGAAGCTTCATCGACGGGTTTTGATCTTTGACTTTGTGAGTCTTGAGCTTTCCATCCTGTTGGAGCTGAACCGGTTCTGTTCTGTCGGAACCACTCGGAGCTGAACCGGTTCTGTCACATCCAGACTGTGGAAGCTGCATCTTTTCTTCTTTAGTTCTTAGAACTTTTGTGGCAGCTTCAAATCTTTTGAACAATCCTGTAGTTTGCAGAGAATGTTTGACTCTTGGGTCCAGACTCGGGCGAAGCAGCTTCAGGAGCTCAAACTGAACTTCTTTCTCCTTTTTTGCTTCTTTTTACATTCATTTCTGACTTCACCTGTTTTCTGATCAGAATCTTTTCGTCCGTTTTTCGTTGCAGCTGAAAACCACCAGAAGTTTTGTATCTATTTATTGATCGATTAGTATTTATTGACGTATGAAGGTGCCTGATTGGCTGCTGGAAGAGTCTCCTCAGTTCATTTATTTAGATGATCACAGCTGGAAGGGTTTCAGCTGCTGCTCCTCTCATCAGGGTGATTAATCAATACCAATATTGATCCGTTGAATTAGTCTGAAACAAACAGAAGCTGTTTGACTGGATGACGATGATCAGACGTCTTCTGGATGAACTCACTGAAGTTGTTGTGTTTCAAATATTTCATTTATTGTTTGGAAAATAAATTCAATAAAGGCTGTTTTTAAATGTGTCATTTGTCTTTATTCTGTGTTTTCAGTAAAAACCAGCATTTCTTTAGTTATTTTGGTCACATGTGGAAAACAACACATTCATACAAAAATCCAGACGAGTTGAATAAAGCTGATGATAAATTGTTTAGTTTTGTAAACATACAAATAAAGCAGCACAAACAAGCAGGTAAACAAAAGTAAACATGTCAACTTTATGCAAAAATGCACTTTAGATATAATCTGTGTACAAACTAACTACAACAGGATCGTCTACAGCAACTCACAGGATGTTTCAACGCTAACATCGACGTGTTTTATGATAACATTGGTTTTTTCGGTGCTAATTAACTGTTGCATTGGGAAAGTTAATTTTTCAGTTACCTTATGCTAATAGCAGCTTTTTAATGTCAACGTTTTTTAACGCTGGTGTGTTTATAGTAACGATCAGTTTTGTTGCGCTAACAGGTGTTTTCAGAATGTCAGCTAATGCTAACATTTCATGCTAATGCTATTCTTCTGATGCTTCGGTTCATGTTAATCTGTATTGTATGCCAACATTAGTTTGTCTATGCTAACATTTAAAGCTAAAGTGTTTTAATGTTATAATTATTTTTGATAATGCTGTTTTTTTGGTGTCAGACTGTTACTTTTATGCTAACTTGTTTCTTTTAGATGCTAACATCAGTTTTTTTTAAGGCGTTTAAACATTAGCTATGTGGGCCTGGTTGGTCTCTACCTGTGGACCTAACTGTCCTGCTCTTAGCATTATCACTGCTATTAGCTGCTGTTTCTTACTGGACTGTAAAGTGATTATAAACAGTAATTTTATTGTCTAAATGGTAAAATTGGCCATTAAGAAGCTGTTAGAATCAGCATCCTGGATGTATGTAAACATGAAACACAACTAGCTTAGCATCAGGCAGCAGCGGTGATAAAAACAGATTGTTTTGGAAAGAGAACATGAATCATGATAAATGAATGTGTGCATCAGGGCTGTTTCTGGTTCATGTCCCACCAGCTCTTCCACACCAGCAGATTTCGACTTTTCCCAAAAGCGACGAGGAAACGAGGCAACCTGAACCCGTTAAACTGACCGACTCCATCGTCTCGGCCTAACGCCATCAACAGGGTGACGTTACCTAGCAACCAGCAACACAGACAGGCAACCACATGAACGTCAGGCAACGGGCAACACGGAAAACACAGACAGGAAACTCTCAGGTGAGCACGCACCTGTGCGATACGTCGTTAGCGCCTTCCCGCTCAAACTGTTGGCGATGTTGGCGACAGCGACGGCGGCGTGCAGCCCAGCGTGGTACGCCATCTTGGGCTCTCTGACATCGGTGCAGTCGCCGGCAGCGTAGATGTTGGAGAAACCTTCAACCTGCATGTAGTCGTTGACCTTCAGGGCTCCGTTATCGGCCAGACAGCCGGCTGAAGGAGAAACACTGATCAATAACTGATCGATTCATTGACCTCAGGAGTCACTGATGTTCAAACTGAGGCTAACCGTGATCTTTTTCTCTGAAACCTTTACCTGCTAATGTTCGTCTTTTCATACGTAAACTTGACGGTAATATTTACGACTGAATTGTTTCTGCTAGCATAAGATCTTCTACAATTTGATATTAAATGTATCATATGATTGTATTTATCAGTGCAGATCAGTTTATCAGGTTTTTTTATGTTAGCATAAGCTTAACAATGCTATCATAGGGTTCGTAACGCTAAGTGCCATTAATATTTTATGGTAGAATTAGTGGCTTAATGCTAGCACATCTTTTTATGCTAATGTAGGTGTTCTATTGTAAAACAAGCTTTTCTATGCTAACGTGAATATTTTAATGCTAAACTGATTTGTGTGCTCTCTCTTCTTTCATTTCAACATTAGTTGTCGTTACGCTAATGCACGTTTGGCCGTAACGTTTAAGTGAACGATACCTTCTGATGATGCTAGCGTTAGTTTTTAAGCCAGTGTTTATGGTGTGAGGAGCTGTTTGTGCCTTCAGCCTGTCAGCTGATGAGCTAGCTGCTCCCTGTTAGCATGTCAGACCCAGTCTTTGGGTCCGTGTGGGTGGTTCTGCTCACTGAGGCTGGAGGCGTAGGCAGCAGAGTTCACTTTGAGTCCGGCGCAGCTGATGATCAGGTCTGCCGTCACCGTGTTTCCGGTATCCGTGGTAACAACCGTGTCCTTCTGGACCACGTTGAGCGGCAGCTCCGACAGGTTGGCCACTTTCTGCCCTGAAACACAGCAGCAGCAGGTTGGTACTGAACAGAACCGGGCTGACTCACCCGTCGGCAGGTGGAGCAGGTGTACATACCCAGCAGAAGCTCCACCCCTTTCTCCTGCAGAACCTGCTTGACCTGATCTCTGACGCTGGGCAGCAGCTCCGGGTCGGCCAGCTCCGTCCGGGAGTGGATCAGAACCACCTGGAGGAGGGAAGATAAAGAAAGATGAAGGAAGAAGAACCCAAACAGGGAGTTCAACCGTCTGAAGCACTCTGAGCTTTGATTTCCTTCTCTGAGGTTCATGTTTCTCTGCAGCTCCGTGGAACCAGAACCGCATGAAGGAGGAGACAGAACTCAGAGACGTGTTCTGTCAGAACGATGGAGACCAGAGACAAGATGATTTATTTTACATAAAATATCTCCATCAGTCAGAGTTGACTCAAAAATGGTCAGAATTTGCTTCAAATTCATCCACAATGATTCAGAACGTGTCCGAGCTGAGCCGAGCCCTCAAACGGACCTCCGTGGTCGGTTCATGGTTCTGTGATTAGTTACTGCTGTTGAAGTGTTTCATCAGATTCACTGCTGGCTGGACGTCCAGACGGGTCCACTTTGGCCACAAACCAGTTCAAAGCTGAATTTATTCTTTTCTTACAGAACTCTGAAGTCCCGGAACCGACATGTTCCCAGAAAGTCAACCTGGACCTGGAGGCTCCGTGATGATGAGTTCTGAGTATTTTATAGACTAATTAAAGCAAACTGTTGATTTTGAGGATTTGTTCTGAGACGGGCAGAACCAGCGACTGCAACCCGTCCTGCTCCCAGAGCGACTCCATCACCTTCTTGTCTGGATACTCGGTTCTGATCTCGGCGGCCATCTCCACCCCGGTCGAGCCTCCTCCGACCACCAGAACCGACTCTGCAGCCAGAACCTGGACACACAGACACAGAATGGATCACCTGGAGGACGTCCTGGTTCTGCACAGTTCGGCCGTCATGTCTTCGTACCTGCTTGGCGAAGTCCTCGTAGGCCTGCACGGCCGCCTGATGCGACGCCACCGTGTTGAACTTCCCTGGAAACGGACCGTCGGTGCCGGTGCACAGGAGGAGGTGGGAGAACCGGATCTCCTGCCGGGCCACAAATCATGAAGATTTCAGAAACCAGAGAAACAAACTAAAAGACGCCCCGAGTTCCTGATTCCATTTGGACCAGATGTTTAAATATCTATCAGTCTATCGATCTATTGATCTTGTTAGATCCACTTTGTAGAGAAATGACCAGAACACTCTGTCAGACTTCGACAGTGCTGGCCAATCATTTTCCAGTCATCCTGGTATCGTGTGTGAGTTTTGATCCAACCACCAGGTGGCAGTAAAACCTGTCCACAGTCTGGATCAAACCTGGAACGCCTGACTTCAGTCCTCATCAGCACATTAAAGGACTTTCACCAGAACACTTCTGGTCTCATCTGAGCACAATTAGTGATAAAAATCATTCATGTCTAATAACAAAGTGACCCAATGAGCAGCTGCAGGCCTCGTGTCCGACACACAGCCCATTGGTTTGACTTTATTTAACTTGAACCGCTTTTATCAAAGGAACTATTTTATTCTTTATTGTTATTAATAAACTGAACACAGTCACACCTGCTGTGATGTTTGTTGTGTCTAATAAAAATGTCAGAAATAATGTTCATATTTTGACTCATTAGAATAAATGTATAACAATAATAAATATGAAAACGAACCTTTAAGACTATATTGTTACATAATCAATAAAAGTGTTGTTAACGCGTTGGCCCGATTGATCAGCTGAGCTGCATCAAAAACTGCATAAACTGAAAATCTGCGTGACTGTTGGAAGTGCATGATGTTTTTAGCCTAGCTTAGCACAAACACTGGAAACAGAGGGAAACTGTTAGCCTGACAAAGTCGGATTTGCATGTTGTGCTAACTTCTATGCTAACTGCAGTTTGTTATTCTAACATAAATATAACATTAAATGGTAACATGGCTTAATGTGGCAACGCAAGACTTTTATGTTGAAATTAGTTTTTAATCGATATGTTAATGCTAGCATCAGCTTTTGTTATGAGGATGTGGTTTGCTACAGCAATGTGAGCTGTGTAATGCTAACGTGATCTTTGTAATGCTAGCATCAGTTGTTTAATGCTAACATTAGCTGTGTAATGCTAACATTAGCTGTGTAATGCTAACATTAGCTGTGTAATGCTAACGTATCTGATGTCTTGGGTGTAAACATGAAACGTGAAGAATCAGAACCAACCAGGAGGCTCCACCTCCTGTAGTTTTCTTTCTTTATGGCTTTGACTCAGAGTCACGTTAACGAGCTGAATTCTATGTTCTAATTAATTCACAGGACTTGGTGGAGTCTGTTCAGCTCCACATGGACCCGTCGGGTTCTGAGTTCTGCTCATCAAGTTAAATTCAGTCGTCCATGGTTCAGTGTTGAAGAGCAGGAAAGGACAATAGAGCTACTTTATTCCTCCTCTTCCTCTTCCTCTTCCTCTTCCTCCTCCTCCTTCTCCTCCTCCTCCTCCTCTCCTCCTCCTCCTCCTCCTCACCCTTCCTCCCTCCAGGACGACCAGCTGCCCGTCGGTGTCGATCCGTTCGACTCGACCCTGGATGAAACTTTCTCCGAAGGTTTCTTTGAACGGGATGAAGGTTGTCTGAGCGAAACCTGCCGACCAGAACCGGGCCAGAGGTCAGAGGTCATGGTGCTGAAGTTGTGATCAGAGACTCGCTGGAGGTCGAGTTCCTCCGAGTCTCTGCTTCAGCTCCTCTGTTCAAATATATTTTAAGCTTTTTGTTACATACAAGACGTGAAGCAGAAAAGGAAGAGAAAGAAAAGGAAATGT